AATCAGCATATCAGCATGTCACGTTTAAATGGGGCTATTGAATGCTTTTTACAGAATTTAATTATGTCTTATGGTTTACGAGATATAACGATTTTGCCGTGGACAAGATATATTGAACGCCTCTTTAGTATTTGTTTATAGAAAATCTGTTTTAATTTTTTTTTTGAATAATATTATTTTAATTATTATTACCTTATAATACTTTATAATGTTACTTATTATTATAGACACATTATTTAATTCACACATTATTAAAACCAGCACGTAAATAAACAAAAAAATTGTTTACTTACACAGATTCTCTACAATCTGCACAATCCTATTCAAACTCTTCTCGGTCTGAATCCTATGTGAAACTGTGGCCAATCGTTTAGCCAATTCTTTATCATCCAAAAGCCTATCAACGGTGGCCAACAAGTCAGGGGCAGTGCATACGAACGGATCCATACGTACGCCAAACCCCTGTTCGTGAACGCGCTGAGCGTTATCAAACTGATCCCAAAACAGGGGCATTACTACCATCGGCTTACCATGGTACATGCACTCGGTCACCGTATTATTACCACCGTGCGTAATCATCAAATCAACCATGCGTAGCACCTGTAGCTGTGGTACAGTGCGTGCGCCCCACATATTATCCGGAAGTGTATATTGATCGTGGCAAATACCCTTGGACACAATAAATCTGTGCGGGCTGTTGGCCAGTATGTCAACCAATCGGCGCATTAGCTCAACATTTGCGCTACCCATGGAGCCCAGCGAGAGGTATATAAGTTTACCAGGTTTGTCCCTTAAACACTCGGGCACAGTAAACGGCTCCTGGCCTTCACTCTCGGTGCGCATACAGTAATCAAACCGGTGATATGTGTCGGGCAATGGACGCACATCTGTGTAATCTAGCTCTTTAGTAAACATGTAAACGTTGGCATAGGGCGAGGGTGACCAGAGCTGGCCTTCCAGGGGTAGCTGATCCGGTTGGCAACCCTCCTTCACCAACCAATCCCTATATGCTGGCCATCCCTCGAGGCGAATCTTTTTGAGCCGTTGCCGCAGTACTTCCCACTCATTTTTATCGCTATTTATTGGCAAACCTTATGCATAAATAACAATGTTTTACCATAATTAACTAATAAATTATTATTAGTACCTAATAATAAAGTTCTATTTTAAGTGAACTTACCCAATAATGAGGGAGGTAGTCGGTGATCTTCGTGGCCCAAGTCTAGTGACAACGGGTTAGCGCTGTAGCTGAACACCCAGGGTATGCCCGAGGTTAAAATGGCCGGAAAGTTCATCGCGTGATCAATGATAATCACGTCGG